AGCAGATGGTGTAGTTTCTTTAGGTAATCCTCAGTGGGATCAGAGGATAATGACCTGTAGAATGTGGTGTTAGACAGCTGTGCCCCTCTGCCATGTACATTAGCCAAACCGGACAGTCTCTACGCAAAAGAATTAATGGACACAAATCTGACATCAGGAATCATAATACTCAAAAACCAGTGGGAGAACACTTTAACCTGTCTGGCCATTCAATGACAGACCTGCGGGTGGCTATCTTACAACAGAAAAACTTCAAAAACAGACTCCAACGAGAGACTGCTGAGCTGGAATTGATATGCAAACTAGATACAATCAACTCAGGATTGAATAAGGACTGGGAATGGCTGAGCCATTAGATTCAATGTTTGTATCTCCCCTTGTAAGTATTCTCACACTTCTTATCAAACTATCTGTACTGGGCTATCTTGATTATCACTTCAAAAGTTTTTTTCTCTTACTTAATTGGCCTCTCAGAGTTGGTAAGACAACTCCCACCTGTTCATGCTCTCTGTATGTGTGTATATATATATCTCCTCAATATATGTTCCACTCTATATGCATCCGAAGAAGTGGGCTGTAGCCCACGAAAGCTTATGCTCTAATAAATTTGTTAGTCTCTAAGGTGCCACAAGTACTCCTGTTCTTTTTATTTTGCAAGTGTCATTTTCAGGAGTTATTAGGTTTTAAATCAAAGCAGATAATTTCTCTAAAAGACCAGATAATTATAGTGCTCATATGCACCACTAATGACCACTTCCATACAGGTTGCTCCATTCAGATTTGACGCTAAACTTCAAACTACATTGTTGACAATGGTAGGTCTCTTTTGATGTTTTGGAGACTGGGGCAGCTATTGAGAATTGGCCGTAGGAATTCATGCCGCTCCTTTATTGCTGTGGTGCTGGCTGATGTTCAGTGGCCAGTAGGAGGCCTTTTATTAGCAGACTAGATTAGCCAGCATTGAAAATATTTAAACCTTCTGATCGGTTGGTGGTGCAGTGTAATCAGCAAATGACTCAGATAAGATTGTGAATTGTGACTGGCCGTCAAAGGACATCTTTTTAAAAAATCAGGAGGAGATTTTGTGTTTAACCCTACTTTTAAAATTTGGGTTCCGGAAAATAAATCCTGCCAGTTTATTCCTAAACCTGGAACCGTTAATAATAAACCACTTAGTTCTCCTCGGTAACTACTGGCTGTCTTACTCTTTGGTGAGAGGAAGGATGGTCCAGTGGTTAGGCCACGAACTTGGGAAGCCATAGGTTCAAGTTATTCCTCCACCACAGACTTCCTGTATGACCCTGGACAAATCACTTAGCCTTTCTGCCTCAGTTCCCCATGTGTAAAATGGGGCTAACAGTATTTCCTTACCTTACAGCGGTGTTGTAAGGATAAAAGCGTGTAAGGTGCTCAGATACCTGGTAGTGAGTGTCATATAAGTGTAGTATAAGAAACAGATAGTTCCTTAGCCACCCAGATTTTGAATAGAAATCCAGCTGTCCAAAGATGTAGAGATGCTTGTTATCAATAGTTACCTGCCCTTTGCCTATGAATAACACAACACTACTGAGCAGCTCTTTACCAAACTGTTTCAGGTACATCTCTGGAATAAAGAAAAAGGGAAAATTATGGGTTACAGCTCAGTTAAGGAGTCCTTTTGCATGTTGGAAAGGATAGGTGGGATTTGGAACTGCGGAGTGAACCTGATTTCTAGGGGCAACAAATTATTCCCCCACAAAATGCAAACCCTGTAACAACGAGAGTGGGTTTCATTGCTTTTGTGCCATGTCCATGGATCATCATTTCTGTGTTCCAAGTCTTGGCTGGCCTCCTCAGCAGGCCTGGAAGTCACATCCACTCATGATATAGCTGAAAGGTGGGCAAGCAGCAAGTAGGCAGGAGGACAAAACCCAAAGGGCTCACACACCATGCAGACGGTCTTGAAAAGGGGAGCTTTCCAACAGCCACCTCTGCTGAAGAGGGAGGAAGGTGGTGAGACCTAGGAATTCTGTGCTAAGGGTGCTAAGACATAGGTATGGGGTGTCTGGGAGACACTCAGCATAGGGATGGGAACAGGTTAGATAATTAAGTTACATTGGAATGAGTGTGTGCGTGTAACGGAAAGGGAGAAAGAAGTGAGATTGGTGAGTGTGGGCTGAGGGACAAGAAAAGAAAAGAATAGCTGTAGACAAGAGATCTAGTGAATAAGCAAAGTGATCTGAGATAAGGAGCAGAGATTGCATAGCAAGAAAAGATGGGTGGAGAAAGAGCTTGGAAGAACACTGGGAAATAGGGAAAAGACACAGGACAAGAAAATATGAGGGGGAGAATGAGATGGAACACAGAAAGAATTAGAGAATGAAGGGGAAGGTAGCAAAGAGAGAAACAAGTTTGAGCTGAAAATGTTATAAGACTAGACTTTACATATGTGTATATGCATATTGCACATACATGTGCCATACACTTCTTACACTGTAAGAGTACATTCACCCTGACATGTGAATATGCAAACTGCAATAAATCCCTGGTATGATTTGCATTTTGTCTTTGAGTGTATATAAGGAGGGGGCGAGAACAGTATGTTGAATGCATCTATTCAAATTATTTTCCATATTAAAAAATATGAATATAAAGGAAATAATCTCTAGGTTGTACTTTTATAATAAAATCTAAAAATGAAAGAAATTCTGTACATTGAGAGGTCTGTGGCAAGGTGTGATTACTATTTATTGTGCAAAATTTAAACTTTCACTGTTGCATTCTTCTGCCATTCCCCACATCTGTTTGTTTTGCCCGCTTGTAGCATCTTATCATCTGCCAAGTTTGTAAGCACTCTGAGGCAGGACTGTCTTTGTACTTCGTGTCTGTACAGCACCTGCCACAAGGGGGTACTGAACCCTCACTGGGACCTATAGACACAATAGCAATCCAAATAATAACTGGCTCTGTGCACCTATTTGTTTTTGTTTTTTTTAATTTACCTGGGAAATTCTTGAAAATGTGGCCATCTGTTTGTCTGTGGATACCACCGCCTACTGTAACATTTGTTAACTATAAATATTTTTCCCTATCTAGCTGTACCCCATAAAATAGGGAGGATAATTGATGGAAGTCCTGCTGATCGCTGTACGAAACTAAAAGTCGGAGACCGGATCTTAGCTGTGAATGGCCAGTCTATTATTAACATGCCTCATGCAGATATTGTGAAGCTAATTAAAGATGCAGGTCTTAGTGTAACACTTCGCATCATTCCTCAGGAGGGTAAGTAATTAAGCCTTAAAGCCCGGGAAGAAAGTTATGTTACCTCCAGTTAGTTTGAAGAGTTTTTGTTTTGAAGCTTGCATGTGTTGTACAAAAAGGTTACAGCTGCAACCCTAGAACTAGCTAGAATATTATCTGAATTCTTGAAAACAATCTAATTGTGGATGTATGTTTCAAAGAACCTAAAGAAACCTGATGGCATAGGGAGTACTGCAGTGTGTGTGCTATAGACTTGTGGAAGAACTGCCTTCTGACATGGATGTAAAATACTCACTAAAAGGCCTGATTTTGAGCTCACTCCTTTTTATATTATTGATTTCCACTGACTTCAATTGAGTTACTCCTTATTTTCACAAGTGTAAGAGAACAAAATCAAGTCCTTAGCCAGTGGGAAATAAGTGACTCACAAACTGTCATCTTGTGTATTCATTTATACCTGTAGTGAGTGACTGCAAAAATGGATGTAAAATGCCACCACTGGAGCGAAGGGAGAAATTTGATTTGATACTGTTTTGCACAGATATAAGTGACTATGCAAGGTAGGGGAGAACCAAGCTCCAAAGGGCTCAGTTTGTCAGATGCAGACAAGGTAACAGACTCATTATTGTGGGCATCACCCTACAAACCAATCAGTGGAGTTTCTTTGATGTGAGCTTCATGTAATTTAAGTTGAAAGAGCTGCAGTGCTAGTATATGAATTCCATTGCATTAATGAAACTGTGACTTTAAGTCCCAGTAGCAGAATACTAGTTTGGATAGGAATGTCAAATACAGAAACCAATGAGATCACTTGCTGATCGGTGTGCTTTTTAGATGACCTTCAGCTCTGTCGGTGCTATCAGCTTAACTCATACTGAGTATAATGCTCTTCTACTGGTATACAGCGGAAATTGGCAGACAACTGCCCTGGATAATGCTGCCCCTATGTCAGTAAATGAATTCAGTGTGAAGAAACACCTAAATGTACAGGAAGAGCACAGGTCAGCTCTTCTTAGCAGATACTCCTTAAAGCATTCACCCGTTCCAAATAGCAATTAGATCCATACGTCCAGTTCAAATTTGTTCAGACTCTTTCTTTTGTTCAGAAAGAGATTTAAAGTTAGTGGCATACATTACCCAGAGATCTGTTTTGTAAACCTCTTCAGGCATGGGTTATGTAGTGCATAATCCATGCTATGCCATTGAAAGCAGCCTTGTACAGGCATTTAGCTAACAGAAATGTATACTAGCAAATAGGTCCACCCCTGGTGACACTGATTAATTTACATAGAAAAGAAAAAGCAGAAGCACATACGAAATGTTGAGTGCTGCAACATGGGCAGACTCTGGAGCTGCTGGTGAGAAGGGATTGTTCTAGAGCAGCGGTGGGCAAACTTTTTGGCCCGAGGGCCACATTGGGGTTCCAAAACTGTATGGAGGGCCGGGTAGGGAAAGCTGTGCCTCCCCAAACAGCCTGGCCCCCATCCCCATCCACCCCGTGACTGCCCCTCCCGGAACCTCACCCCCTATCCAACCCCTCCTGCTCCCTGTCCCCTGACTGCCCTGACTCCTATCCACACCCCTGCCTCCTGACAAGCCTCCCGGGACTCCCACGTCTATCCAACACCCCCGTTCCCCATCCCCTGACCGCCCCCCCGAACCTTCACCCCATCCAACCACACCCTCCTCCCTGACTGCCCCCTGGGACTCCCTGCCCCTTATCCACCCCCCCTGCTCCCCGCCCCCTTACCATGCCGCTCAGAGAAGCAGGACTGGCAGCCGTGCTGCCTAGCTGGAGCCAGCCACGCTGTTGCGCTGCACGGCAGGAGCCCGCCGCCTAGAGTGCTGGCAGCACGGCGAGCTGAGGCTGCAGGGGAGGGGGGGCAGCAGGGGAGGAGCTGGGGGCTAGCCTCCCCAGCCGGGAACTCAAGCGTCGGGCAGGACATTGCCCGTGGGCCATAGTTTGCCAACCTCTGTTCTAGAGGTTACGGCACAGGTAACATGAGGCTTGGATTCTATTCCTAGTTCTGCTACTGACTCACTGACACTAGGCACTTACCTAACCTCAAATGTCAGTTTCCCCATTAATAAAAAGGGGTAATAGTATCTAATAACTTTGTGAAGTGCACTCAGGTGAAAAGTGCTATAGAAATGCTATGCAGTAGTATTAATGTATGATTTGACTGGTGTTTGTAAGTGTCTAGCATAGGCATGAGGGATCATATTTTCAAACCAGTCTCTGAAATTGTGAAGCACAAATCACACTTGTACATGCAAACTGTGCTTGTAGACATGTAAATATGCAATGTACACACAACAGTGCTGTTTGTGCCTTCAGCCTCAAACTTTTTGAATGCAAATTTAGAGGTATTTTTGACAATTTGTCCTAAATTAGACAAACATTTAAAAAAAGTATGCTAAAAGAATCAAACTTTGAAAATAGTCATAGGTATAAAATAGTCAATTGTTATGGAAAGTTGAATAAATAGTCAATAGTAAATTGTTAAATTAACAAAAAAGCTCTAGATCAAATTAACTAGTTAATAGTAATGCCACTTTATCTTATAAAAGGAACTAACAATGGCTTGATAGACAGCTGTTGAGGACAGTTTGTGTGTGTGTATATGTACATATATATATATATATATATGAGTCTAGAAGTACATGTGTGTGTGTATGGGTGTGTGTGCATATATATATGTCCAGCTGCAGCCCCTCATGTCCCTACACCAGCTATGCACACTGTGTGTAGTAGCATCTAGGAATAAGTAGCTTCTGCAGAGTTGCTCTATCCCCTCTTGTGCTTGTGAGCAGAGCCCAGGCACTCCCTCCCTCCCTCCCTCCCGTCCCACACACACATAAATGTACATCCCAGACATTGGGGGAAATAATCTGTATCACTAAGCCTAGTGCAGGGTATTGCTTCTTCCCTCAACCCAGAGCAAGGGGAAACCTGAAAGCAGATTAGTCTCCCTTGTTTGTGGTGAATCTACAGTCTAGCACTTTATTTGTATGTTGTATGCCTTTCCCTACCCTTCCTCTTTTTAGATGTTGGGTCTTTGGGGAAGGGACTGGGTTTCTACAGTGTACAGTTGTAGAGCTCTTAGGCTATTTTGCATGCTACTGTGATATAAATGATAATAAGAGCTGGTTAATATGTATTTATAAAGGTTGGCTCCACTGTCCATGACCCTACCTGACAGTTCAAACCTCCATTTGACTTCAAAAGCAGCAGGAGCAAACAAAAGCATTTTAAATCTTGTTGCAACAGTTTATCATCCCATAACTGTAATGAAAGCAGTAAGATTCTTCAGTCTCCCAAAATGAAAAGTTTCCAAATATCAGTAGTTATAGGCTTTTAAAAGAAACTATGAACCACAGCAGCTCTTTGCCCAGTTCAGTTGAGTTTTAAATAACAGATTTGTCAGCCTGAGTTGTAAAAGTGACCAAGATTATAGATCTCAGAGGAGATCAAATGAAGTCCAGTAGGTTCAGATGTCTTAAAATCTAATTATGATAATAATTATAATAAAAGCAACAAAACATAAATAATTGGAGGTAGAGTGTTACAAAAATGATTATTGTCTACCTTTGCCCTTTATTAAATGCCACACTATGACAGCTCTTTAATCTCCAGTTTCCCATTATGCAGAGCTGAACAGTCCAGCTTCAGCACCAAGCTCAGAGAAACAGAGCCCCATGGCACAGCAACACAGCCCCATGGCTCAGCAGAGCCCTGTAGCACACCACAGTCCCGTAGTACAGCCACCACCGCCACAACCGCTCCAGTTACAAGGACATGAAAACAGGTAAGAGCAGCTGCTCCACGTTCTGCTTCCTTTCGGTACAGTGTGAGACCTGATCCAATCGACCTTCTCTCTGTTTCTAACTACTGTGCCATATCATGTTACCTGTTGCCAACATTCAAGGGGCAACATTTATAAAACATAAATTGTGTGTTCGATTAAACTGAAAAGTATCGTTCACCTACATGTGTGAGAGACGTCAGTCTACACAAGGAGCAAAACTTTCCCGAAACAGGGAGCGCTGCGTTCAAACTTCAGATTCTCAGAACTATTTACTGGCGTGATATTTTTTGCCAGAGAACTAAAGCATATTCTAGTATCTCTTGCTCATAACTTCATTGTTAATAAACTTCATTTTTACGTTCCTGACATTTACGAAACACATTTATATCTAGTATGCTCTTGGTGAAATGGCCTTCTTTTTAACCCTCACACCCACCTCCATGTCTTCTGCATCGTAAAGCACTGTTGTCAATACAATATTTTTCAGTTCAACAACGGATTTTATCTACAGCAAACTGATTTTTCCCCAGCTGATTTCTCTAGTTTAGCTCTCAATACATGTATGATTTTTTGTGTATACGACATAGTTTGAATTAAATGATACAGTGTATTACTTAGTGGGCTAGGAGAAAATCTAGAGTGTTGTGACCAGCTACATTCTGATCAGAATGTATTTGAAATAGATTTAGGTTGTGGAATATTACAATAGTTCTTACATTATGTGATTTTCTGTCAACATTATTTTGTCACTGGATTAATTTTTTGGCTTGTCAGATAAAACTGATTACACTGTCAGTCTTTATGCTAAACTTGACCGAGTAATGTACCTCAGCCAGACCATGACCCATAAACAATAAATGCCAGTGCCAGAGTTTCTGCATTTTATTGTAGATCAGGTGCTATGCCCTGTCAGTCACCTATGCTTAATACACAAATCATATTTATAGAGCTGTCAAACAATTTAAAAAATTAATCGCGATTAATCACGAGATTAAAAAAAATGTGATTAATGGCGGTTTTAATTGCACTGTTAAACAACAATAGAATACCATTTATTTAAAATTTTGTAGATGTTTTCTACATTTTCAAATATATTGATTTCAGTTGCAGCACAGAATACAAAGTGTACAGTGCTCACTTTATATTATTATTTTTTATTACAAATATAAATAGTATTTTTCAATTCACCTCATACAAGTACTTTAGTGCAATCTCTTTATTGTGAAAGTGCAACTTACAAATGTAGATTTTTTTTACATAACTGCACTGAAAAATAAAGCAATGTAAAACTTTAGAGCCTACAAGTCCACTCAGTCCTACTTCCATACTGATGACAGAAGCATGGAATCATGTCCTCTGGAATGGTGGCAAAGTATGAAGGGGCATACAAATGTTTAGCATACTTGGCACGTAAATATCTTCCAACACCAGCTTCAAAAGTGCCATGCAAACACCTGTTCTCACTTTCAGGTGACATTGTAAATAAGAAGCAGGCAGCAGTATCTCCTGTAAATATAAACAAACTTGTTTGTCTTAGCGATTGGCTGAACAAGTAGGACTGAGTGGACTTGTAGGCGCTAAAGTTTTACATTGTTTTGTTTATGAGTGAAGTTATGTAACAAAAAAAATCAACATTTGTAAATTGCACTTTCACTAAAGAGGTTCTTGTATGAGGGGAATTGAAAAATACTATTTCTTTTATTTATCTTTTTTACAGTGCAAATATTTATAATAAAAAATAATAATATAAAGTGAGCACTGTACACTTTGTAATCTGTGTTGTAATTGAAATCAATATATTTGAAAATATAGAAAAACAGTCAAAAATATTTATAATACATTTAAATTGGTATTCTAATATTGTTTAACAGTGTGATTAAAACTACAATTAATCACGATTAATTTTTTTAATCTAGTTAATTTGTTTTGAGTTAATCACTTGGGTTACCTGTGATCAATTGACAGCCCTCATATTTACTTATCCAAAATGCCTTTCTCCTCCATTTCTACCGGTATCACCATATAAATATTACTTGGGAGTGGGGACGGATTTTAAATTCTGGTCCCCAGTCATCTCCCGCACAGCAAGGACATTGGATCTCCCTCAGCCAGGGAGTCTTTCCTCTCTTTTATCCACACAGTGCATGAGACGATGCTGCCAAGAGTTGAGTTCTCAGCAGACTCCCCTGTGCTCCACCACACAGGAACAGACACCCCATGTGCCAGATCGCAAGAGCACTCCGTAAATTTTGGCCCCGATACCCCTACATTCAGTGGCATTGCAACCATGCAGCCAGAGTGGTGCTCCATACCGTACTGTTTGAGCGACCTGCCAGTCCTGCAAAAACCTCGAGTAAGCAGCGATTGCACCCGCCAGTCACACACTGACTTACACAGTTTTTCAGGTTCCTTTTCCTTACATTTCATTAGACACCTGCCTGACAGTGCCGGCTCCAGAAAGATACATGCTTCTGCTAAAGTAACTGTAGAACCCAATCCTAAAAATTCTTTTCAAGCCCCATCAGAAGTCCCATTGACCAGCACAATGCTCGGTAATAAATGTTTGCAGGATTGGGACCTTAGTTTGTGACATATAAACTATATTAATTTTTTTAAGTTCTTAAAGGATGATCTGGCCACTATGTTACTGAATGTCCAGTAAGGTATATGCATTAACACACCTATTTACATATTCAACAAAAAATATTATTGTTATAACTTGTGTATAGCATAGCATCATCTTCTGGGATACTGATATGCCAGTATATTGTGAACTTGTGTTAAGCTGTCCAGTGTTCCAGAAATAATTCTATTATTAGCTGATATTGGGTAGTATTTTACCCATTTTTAATATGTTATAATTTGTTTATATAGTTATTCACCAGAAAAAAAGTTGTTGTTCTGTATCAGTCAGTCAAAATCCTAAATCATATTTAATATTTTTAAATTACAAGCAATAAATTTACTTTGCTTATATTAAACAGACTCAATATTACAATAAGCCTAGATTCTCTATGTCCTTGTTACATGGAATCAATATACTAAAGAAGTAAAGAAGATAAGAAGCTTTGATATAAAAAAGCAGATCCCATTATGAATACTTTGTACAAGTTTTAATACTATATGTGTTAGGTCTTTTTTTGCAATCTCTATGAAAATAATTCAAGTTTCAAATCATTTCCCCTCTTATCTCTGTTTGTCTGGTTGGAAATATAGCTAGGAATGGCTAGTTTACAGAAATGTACTGTATCAATAAAGTGTCTATGTTGTAGCCTAAGACAAAGCCATCTAACACATTATGCAAGTTATTTCCAGGGAAAAATGAACAAAGACAGAAAACAATGCTCAGATTAATTCCACATGTTGAATACATTCATTTGCATAACTAAGCATTTTCCTTGAAAACCTAGTACAGATTCCCTTTTCATGGTATGAGTGTTATTACTAGGTATGCTGAAGCTTTATTAGAGCAGAGCCTGAAATACACATCAGACAAAAAAGATTGTTAGCATCTTCTTTCAACTAGTTAGCAATTAAAACAATATTTATAAAGTATTAAATCCTTATTAACCAAATTCGGTTTCCTTCCTTCATAAATGTGCATCATATTCTAGATCTGTATTTAAATCCTAGAATGGCTTACTAGGAATTGCTACCATAAGATCTTGCAGTGAATCAGAGCACTTAGTGTACACTATATTAATGGATACTATATCAATGATTTCTTTCTATTAGTCAGATAATGGCTGGTACAAAGAAAATGTCCGTTTCTGAATTTGAGAGCTCACCAAAAAAAAATAGCTTTTACATTAGTAAAATATAGAGGCTGTAAACCTCTGAATCTCTTCAATATTTTAAATCCTTATTTAGTCTACTGTACTCTAAGTTCTGGAAAACAATAAACAAATTCAGTCTTTTGCTTTGTATTATATTTTCTTCTGTGAAATTTCGTCTTTGGGTTACACAAGGTACATGGGAGTCAGGACTTCTGGGTTCTGTTCCTGTTACTGCCATTTAGGGCCCAATTCTGATCCCACTGTGGTCTATGGGGAAATGATACTGTACTGCCTTGGACAAGTCACTTAGGGCCAAATTTTCAAAAGTAAGCTCTAATTTAAGATATCTCAATTTTTGCCTTGGAAAGCTCATCTCAAATGCATCATCTGCCTCTCAGTGAAGTCCAGTTTGACACAATTTTACAGCTGTTCAGTTGCTTTTTATCTCTCAGTATTGCATTTAATGCCTTTCTGCAAATTCTTTTAGCGTTGTGCAGATTTCTGAAATTTTAAATAACTAAAATAATCATTCTAACTTACTCAGTTATAGGTCAGAAGTAAAAGCAAGACAGGATGTGAAACCCGACATCCGACAACCTCCATTTACTGACTACAGGCAGCCTTCAGCGGACTATAGACAGCCTCCATTAGACTACAGGCATCCTCCAGTAGTGGATTACCAGCAGCCACCACCTCTGGACTACAGGCAGCCACCTTTAATAGATTACAGACAACATTCTCCTGACACCAGGCAATATCCTCTGTCAGATTACAGGCAGCCCCAGGTACAAAGTGAAATAATCACAGCTCTGAAAGCAGGGTCTTTAAATTGACCTGAACGTTTGTATTATGATTTATATTTTTTTGCAGAAGAAATTAATTCCAACTTCATTAATGCTTGTAAAGTGCTGTTATTTTTACACTAAAATAACGCTATTTATAATACTGTTGTTACAGCTGCAGGTAGACTATTTTTTATATTTTGGGGAGTTCAAATAATGATGAGAAAATGCATTCTCCAGAACATTATTCTTCTCAAACCACTGTATACCAGCATCATAAATAGTCTTTTACCACGGGCTGTGCTTTAAAGGCACAATCCAGCCCTAAATCAATAAACTGTGGCTGTATCCAGTTCAGATGGGATTTCTACATAAATTATCATCTTTCTGCCATTGTAGAAGACATACCTTATTTATAATCAGAAAAATTACAAATATCTCTATGTCTTTGTGTCTGAAAAGGAAGCTTCTCCTTTTTCAAAAACAACAAGGAGTCTGGTGGCACCTTAAAGACTAACAGATTAATTTGGGCATAAGCTTTCGTGAGTAAAAACCTCACTTCTTCGGATGCATAGAGTGAAAGTTACAGATGCAGGCATTATATACTGACACATGGAGAGCATCCCTGCTCTCCATGTGTCAGTATATAATGCCTGCATCTGTAACTTTCACTCTATGCATCCGAAGAAGTGAGGTTTTTACTCACGAAAGCTTATGCCCAAATTAATCTGTTAGTCTTTAAGGTGCCACCAGACTCTCCTTTTTCAGAAGATCAATCTTGTGTGTGTTATGACTTGATGTGAAATAATCTATGCCAGCAGAAACAATCTATATACAAATTAGCCAGATGTCTCTTTTTACACAGAGCCCAATCTTGCAATGCTTATTCCCAGAAGTAAGCCTTATGTTAGTAGTTTGTTGATTTGAATGGGAATGTTCTCATGAGTGGTGTTTACTAATGGGTGTCAAGGTTGAAGGATCTGGTGCAAATTTGGGTTAAAAAATCTCCCCCTTTCCTTGCATAAGGGGGGAAAAAGCAGATGGCAGAAAGTTTATTAAATCAGGAGGCACATGTTTCCAGAAGTCCTCAGCGAACACCACATTCCTAGGTCAACCCTCTATAGAGTTCACTTCTAGGGCCATATTTTCAAAGCAGGCAAACATGCTGTCTCCATGTAAATATGTACACACCTGTTGCCTATGTAAAAATATATTCTTTGTACAAGAATATTGAGTAATTCCACATTCAAACATATGTTCAAAGGGTTTGGTTGTGTTTTTTTCCTTAATGTGCACAAATCCATTCACATAGTTAATTTGTTTTTACTCTCTGTGTCTATACAGGATTTTGATTATTTCACTGTTGACATGGAGAAGGGAGCCAAAGGGTTTGGATTTAGTATTCGAGGAGGAAGAGAATACAAAATGGATTTGTATGTGCTGAGGTTAGCAGAAGATGGGCCAGCGATAAGAAATGGAAGGATGAGGGTGAGTAATTTAACTCTTTTGAAACAGCTCCATAACATAAATTCTAAGGAATATATATATATTTTCAGAGGATTTTGCGCACTGCATGTAAGAAACAGTTATATTTTGTGACAAGATCAGATAGAACTTCTATAATACTTGTCTAGCGAAGAACAAACGCTTTTATATTGTTAAATGGCCTAACAAGAGCTGAATAAATTACATTAAATAGGCAGTAGGTCTAGGTAATTTATTTGTGGATTGGATATGTCATTTTTGATTGCTTTGTTTTGCAATTTTCTCCATATTCTTTCATTCATTTCTAGACATCTTAGAAACTCCAAGGAATGAAGAGTTTGTTGCTTTCTTAATAAAAATAATAGCAGGGTAATTATTTATTTCTGTAGTCCAAATACAAAGACACAGTGATCTAGTATATTGGACAATGGATTGGGTATCAAAAGACCTGGGTTTTAATCCTGGCTCTTCCACTGTGTGCTTATGACCTTCAGAAAGTCACTTCACTTCTGTCTCACCCCGCGTTGTTTCATCCACTTAAATTATAATATCTTTTTGTCAGGAACTAACTTTCACTAGTTGTTTGTATAGCACCTAGTACAATGGAGCTCGAAACTCAGTTGGAGCTTCTAGATGTTGTTATAATATAAATAATAATAAAAACCACATCAGTGCACCGAGTGTGACAAAATTTCAAAGTTAATTTAGGAAATTCCACATTACAAAATAAGTGGATCAAGATTTGTGCTTTTGGCCTGTCCAGCTGTTATAGTGAAGAGTTTATCTGAAGAGTAGGTATAAATTCATCTGCACTTGCACGTTAATACATAACAATTCATTGCACAAAAAAGTGTGCGGAAAGGCAACCATGACAGTACAGTTAGACCAAGAATCAGTACACAAACTTTTCCTTAAAATATCTAACAAATGCTGCCTTGTTGCTCCAATATTTAATCATAAAGATGGGAAATGGAAAAATAGTGCTATACTAGAAAGAGAATGGATTGTTGTCATGTGGCAGTTCTGAATACTTTCCTGTTCTTTTTGCGGATACAAACTAACACAGCTGCTACTCTGAAAGCAGTTCTGAATGAAATTCTGCCCTCACTTGCATCCCATGCAACCGCAACAAGTCTAACTTTCTGTCTTTAAAGAGTACTGGGGTCTGACCATGCTAATACAAAATTTTGTTATGGTCCATGTGTCACATACAGTTTTTAAGATTCGATTTGGTCCTGGAGTACGCATAGGCCACAAAGCCCCAGGCATTGTGAGCTTGCCTGAAGAGGAGCTATGGAAACACAGAGCACCCAACAACTCCCCTTCCACTAGGAACCTAGACACAGCCAGCACTGCCCAATCAATGAGAACCACTGACTAACTATATATAGAGTATATAATGTAGGTGTGAGTTAACATTGACTTTGGAATCTTAGATTTTAATTTTTTTACTTGTCTTTTCATTTGTTCCTTTATTGCTGTATTATCATCGTTTATTGTACTTAATAAAAAGTCATAACCAGGATATATGATATTAGCCAGCGTGTAACTAATGGTGAGGAAAGCAGTAGAGCTCTTCCTTTACAGTCAATGCTGGAAGTCATATAGTTTAGGGCATATGACCGAGATTACAGAACCATGAAGGATGGTGCCTTTAGAGAAGTATCATTGCAGGTAATTTCCTATATTTAGTCAAAGATCTGACCAGTAAAATTATATGCATCATTTGAATAGAATAATATCACAAGTATAAAATAGACCTTATGAGTGAATACTACTATATCCATTTTAAACAAGTAAGGACAGTAAGCCAGTTCATGGCTCTTTTCAGTCTCATTGGGAAATATTTTATAATGTTCCATGAAAACATACTAATTGTTTGTTCCATGAAAAAATACTAATTTCTTTTCTAAAATAAATTTAAAAACTTGTCTAATTTATATAGTTGTTATACAAAGCCAACTGTCATGGATACCGGGCAGGCCATACCTTAAACCCCTTTTTGTCCTTTGCAAATGCACTCCTTTGGGGACCTCTCTGGGTGGAATCATGCTAGACCAGATCTCTGGGCTGCATTCCACCGCCACCAACCATGTTAACCCAGCAGGCTCAACTGGGTTTGGCATCTGTAAGCCTTTTACCTCTGGGGACAAATGACCAGCTGATTAAAGTGACTCAAAAACAGTTTCTTCAAAACAAAGTAGCATTTATTTGCCAAAAAGAACATAGCATCTAGGAAAACGGGTTTAAACAACAAAGAATCCTATAGAGAGACAAGATGGGCGAGGTAATGTCTTTTATTGGACCAACTTCTGTTGGTGAGAAAAACAAGCTTTTGAGTTTACACAGAGCTCTTCCTCAGGAAGCTCAAAAGCTTGTCTCTCTCACCAACAGAAGTTGGTCCAATAAAAGATATTACCTCACCCATCTTGTCTCTCTAATATCCTGAGATCAACACAGCTACAACACTGCATACAAAGAGTCCTGTACACACATATCTTTACCTAAGCTTAACCACTGTATTCAGAGCTCAACTAAGGACAATTTATTCCCATCTCTCGGTTGTGGGAGTCAACCTCCTTGCTGCAGGACTTGTGTCTCTCTATTTGCCAGCAACTTATCTCTAGTTGCTGCTATTGACAGCCCACTTAGCGCCCACTTCTTCCCTATGCCAGCATCTTTATGGTTCAGGATTCCCTTTGGTCCTAGGCTTTCAGTCTTGAGAAGAGTAAACCATGCCAGCCTGCTGGAAGCCAGGCAGGGGCATTTACCAATTAATAGCTGCTCGCATCGTTCCCTTAAATAGCTTTATCTGTCAGAGTTTCATTTTCCTCTTTGCTTCCCCTTTAACAACCTCCTTGGGTTTAACTCCCGGCAGTAAGGCAGGGTAATAGCAAAGATAAATTGAGATTCATATAATACTTTAAAAAAATAATATACATAACTGTGTCATTCGCCACACGAACCAAGTCAAGAAAGGAGAAGTTAAGGCTGGATATACCATTGTGAAGAATATGTTAAGATAAAATTGACCATGTTAGGGATTAAGGTCTGCTCTACACTTAAAAATTTTACCAGTATAACTGTGACATATCGGAGTGAGATTTTTATCATTATATTTATACAAGTAAAATTCCCTGGGTGGATGCAGTTATACTGGTATAACAGTGACTTAGGCTGGGTCTACACTACCCGCCTGAATCGACGGGTAGAAATCGACCTCTCGGGATCACATTCACATTCACAACTAATTCATCCCTATTGGTCAACACCAATTCCAAAATGGATAACCCCCCTAACTGTTTCCAAAACTTTCTGAATTAGAAAGTTGTCCCTTCTACATGCTAAGAACTTGGACATAATATGTTTTTCTGTAATAGTCTTCCAAAAGCTATCAGGGAAGTGAAAAATCTCCATTAATACTAGCTCATGTGTATTAGCTAATCTTGTTACCTGCTTGTTACCTGCCTCATCCACTTCCTTGTTTTGATTTGGTGGCTATAATAGACCCCCTTATCCATAACATAACTACTATTCTTTTCCTTTTTTAGCCTCATCAGAGACTCTCAATAGATCTCTCCTTACTTCCTCTTGGAGCAAGTGTATACATTCTTGATGTACAGCACAATGCCTCCTCTTTTTTTCTCATACCTGTCCTTCTGGAACAAGCTATATCCCTCAATGCTGCTACTCCAGTCATGGGAGTTGTCCCACCAAGTCTCTGCAATGCAAATTAAGTCATAATTTTCTTCATATACCATGACTTCCAGTTCATCCTGCTTGTTCCCGTGCATTGGTATGCAGGCATCAAAGATGTTTTGCAGACTGCCCTGTTACTTTACTTCTTGCCTCTTTAATGCATTGTGATTTCTGGTCCCTTCTCAATAATTTAGCCCCTTCCCCTTGACTTCCTTACTTGAGGCTAGATGTGCATTGGCCAGGCCCCATAAGATCTAGTTTAAAGCTCTCCTTATCACATTAGCCGTATGATGTACAAATATGATCTTCCCAGTATTTGATAGATGAAGCCCATCCCAGCACAGTAATCCTCTTTCCTGGAATATTATATCTGCAGAATTTGAAATCTTAGAAACAAAATCTAATAAATTAGAGAAATCAATCTAAATAAAGAATGTGGGTGTAACCATCTTCTGCAAAGGGTAGTAAACACAAAGGATAGCTTACTAGGGAATATAATTGAAGCAAAAATTTAAATTAATTACAGATGCCTAGATTTTGAGAGAGGGGACAATAGAAAAGAATGGAGAAAAGATAGAAGGGGAGACTCAAAAATAAACCAAAACAAAGGGAGGCATATGATGCTTCTTTGAA